TATATATATATATATAGTATTTTCTCTTGTGAATGTATTTTAAAAGTTGTTTGTTTTGGTAGTATTTAACAATGATGTGCTCCCGCACTGCATCCGATTGAGAGAAATTGTGAAAGTAATACATCCAAAATATTAGAAACAGCTGTCAGTCTGATGCAGTGCAGTTATACTGTACACCTCTGCTATAACAACTAAAATCGCCATGATGTTAAACGTATACTGTATGTCTCTGATAGTGTAAACCAGGGGCGTCAAACTCAATATCGCCAAAGGCCTTATGACTGTGAACCCAGAGAAATGTATGATTGCCTCATGTTACTTACTACTGTATATACAACAAATTGATGAAATCAGAAGACTGTCAGAAAAAAATAATTTGTTCAACTAATACTCTATTTTAAAAGAGGGATTGTTGAGGAAAAAAATCTTACACTATGTCAATGTTATTAAAAATAAAGACGTGCAATTTTGATATTTTAGCAAGAAACATACACAACATGATTTCCCTTCGCAGATCACATAAACGAATGCCTTGCCGAATCTTGCCCCTGAGCCTTTAGTTTAAAACTTGTGGTCTAAATTTTTACACCACTTACTTAGGATAGATATGTTTTAAATCCTATTCTTTTCAACAATTTTTGAATTGTCCCCAAAGTTTGACGGTAACATCATTAGATGAATGCCAACTTGTCAAAACAGGTAGATGTTGTTTTTTTAAAGCGCTGTATAAATAAAGTTAAGTTGAGTACAAACAAACCCATGCCAATGAAAACATCCTGCTTCATGCAGATAAAATAGAACCATGTCCTTAATATGAATTGGGCATGATGTCAATCAGTAATGGGGTGCCTGTAACTCATCAATAAGGACTTGGGTTTTAGGCAGTCATTGAGTCCTGCTGCAGCCAAATATTAAAATGGCAACTAGCTCACGGAGAGAAGCTTGTTTGCAGCAAGGCACTCCTCCCACACGCCCAGCTCAAAAGGTGCATCACCGTTGTGCGTCCCCTTCATCCTAACAGTCTCCCTTGCATGCCTGCATCATGTGTTGTTTTCGTCAACGATAACAAAATTATTTTGTTGACACACCCTTTTTTGGGGGGCGAAAATGAAACAGTGGTGTACTAAATATGGCTCTTTGATGAGGAAATCATGATGAGACAAAATGCCAAAATTTTCATTGGCAAGACTGGACAAAGTGCGAGATGTGTTATGTCAGATCTTCAAAATACACAGATCACAGAGGTGTTGCTGAACCCACGTTTGTTAAAAGGGAAGTGGCCGATGTAACTTATGAAAAAAAAATTTCATATCACTCTATCACCTCAAATAAAAAGGAAACCTGTGAATGAAGTCTTAGAAAGTTTGTTAAATATTCCCAAACATGTACAGGCAGCTGTAAATATTCATGATAATTCACCATTTGCTCTCATCCAGCCTTTGTTTGATTATCTCACTGGTTCTTCAGTGTTGACATGGGGGAACACGCCTGACTGCTATCATCCTGTCACAGTGGGACTGCAGGTGTAATTTCACAAGCAGGTGGAATGTCCCCGCATGCATGTTAGTTAGCTCGGGTTCTCTCGCCACCAATAGTGACACTTTTGAAGCGGTTTATTATGAACATTGCTTTTTCATACATGTTATTTATATCCTTGCCTACTCCAGGGTTGTCTTACTGTGTTATTTTAGGAGCTTAGTGGGACATTAGCCTTTTGAATGTCACTGGCTCAGTGAATTAGGAGTGACCATGTGCAGTCATAACACGTGTGGCATCGTGCACTTGCACTCATATTTTATTGCAAGGCCTACGTTTCTATGAGTTGCTGAAGTGAAAACAAAATAATTGAGGGAAACACAACAATTGTGGTCGCATCTGCAGTACATTGGAGCAGTGACAAGTAGGACTGCATTTGACTTGTACTTTGACAGCTGTGGCCCTAACATGCCCGTTAATACATTCGTTAGTTAAATGCGACGACACGCTTATTTATTTATCTCTTTATGTATTTATTGTTTTGTAATCCTCGTTTACAGCATTATGTTGCTGTTTTGTTACAAGTTAGAACACAGTCGTTATTGAAGCCTGAGCAACGTCCACGTGGGCAGGTTTTGATGTCACGCCCCCTGAACACTTTACTCTTCTGTAATTGGACGACGGTCATACGAGGAGGCGGGCTTTCCACAAAGTTTGGAGCTTACCGAGTTGCCTTCGGAGAGTTTGAGTGAACTACACACTCGTAGTGAGAGCTGACCCGACGGTATCGTCCCGATATGAGCCATGGTCGGCGAGTATTGCTCTTTCTCTAGGGATAAGACGGACATGCACTCCCAGAGAAACTCTAAGAACGGACTAAGTTGCAAAATGGTGCTTCAAGCGGTCGGAAAAGTTTTAAGGTAAAAACGATGGTTGTTCCGGCTCATGTAGAACATGTTGGGTTAACAGCACTTAACTAACGGCGTGGGGTATGGTATTTGATTTAATAGTGGAATCTGCAAGTATGGCTGCAAATCTGAATAACAATGCTAACGACGGTGCACGTGAAGCCATACACGTTTTCACGTCGACGTGTGTAAATACGGAGGTATTACATGTACACTAGTGCGTTTCTCCTCGGCTCATCCAGCATCTGCTTATTCGTGACTTGTACTCTTCAACTCGCTGCACTAATTTCCTTCAGACAAGACCGGGCAAGAAACGTGACACAGTCCTGCTCCTGTGGTAATTTACTCAAATGAAGCGAACGTTTAATTAGTTAAATATAAATGATTGCTTTTTGAGTCATCAAATTGGCTCCAAAACCAATCGCGAAGGAAGCGACATTGTTATACAAATATGCACCTTAAACTTTTGAATAGCGCTGCTTCAAAAGCGGGTCATGCACATGGTTTAACTGACATTAAAGTTGTTCGCGATTCTCTGTGGGGGACAGACGAAAACGTGTGTGTAAAAAAAAAAAAAAGCTTAACGCGGTTTACTCTTAGAAAACTACGACCGATTGCTACCAAAATTCACATGCATGCCTCCACCTATGCCCACTTCAAATTCACAAATTCACTTCAAAAATATTTTCAGACATTGATTGGGGGGGGGGGGGGGATACAGATGTCCACATTAATTTTGGTGGTGATTGGTTGTAGTGTTCTAACATTGAGTCGCGTTAAGCTTTGTCTTTATAGTGCACGTCTATGGGGAGGGGAAAAAAAAGCTAATGGCCATGAAATCCAAAATACTGTGGCGATTCTTTACACATTTGCAGAGGTTGGCGTGGGCATAAGTAGAGATGTGTGAATTTTGATAGTAACTGATCATAATTTTCTGACATTAATCCCTGTTAATCTTTTTTTTTTACATTAAGCATTTAGACTGGCCCACTGTGGGGATCATTTATGAAGGTGTATATCACAGGTGTCAAATTCAAGGCCCGGGGGCCAGATCTGGCCCGACAAGTCATTTTATGTGGTCCGCAAAAGCAAATCAAGCATGTCAAGTTCCATGATGCTTGCTAAAGCCTGAACCAAAATTTCAAATTGTCACATGTAATCCACAATAACAGCCATTATTCTTGAGTTCTGATTTTAAAACTAGTTATTCATCAATTTGTTGTGTGCTGTGTATGTAATATGTGGAGGTGATTAAACATTTATATGGTTTCCCAAAATTCATCACGGCCCTCCAAGGCAAACCGTAACTACAATGTGGCCCGCGACAAAATGAGTTTGACACCCCTGGTGTATATCCTAGTTTCAGTCAGTGTGTTACACACCAGGAGTTACATTTCTCAACTTGACCTCCATTTTATGTGTGACAATTGGTGGATAAATTAATAATTTCATACGCTGAGATCAGACTGAGAAGACTCAAGAAGATTGTATAACCCAGATTGAATGTCATCATAGTGACACAAACGACAAACCACCCCTATTAATTTCTGTCAATACGGTTAAGCAAATTTCAACTTTTAACCCAGTTTACACATGTGTATTTAGCCTGGTTGTGTGTCAGTGGAAGATGTACAATCGGAATGAATGAGCTCCTTCTTTGGACAGCTAGCCTTGTTAATGATTTGGTAACGTTTACCCCCACTTTGTTAAGCCCTGGGACAAGCAGCAAACCAAAGGCCACATACCTCAAAACCTGTTGATGTAAGGAGCAAGACAGTGGAAGATTCCATACCTTTTTAGAGCTCAAAACAGGTGTTAAATAATGTGGTGCTGTATGGCTGAATGTGCATGGAGAGGTTATCTGTTGCACATACCATATTTATGCTAGGTTCAGACTCGTGTTGAACGATTATGGAAAATAATCTAATTGCGATTGTTTTTTCTTTTCCCCCAAAAAATTGCAATTACGGTTTGTTTTGTAAATTTTCTTCAAGATCCTTTTCCGATTATTTTTCAATAGCTAATCTTTATTACAACAAACAATATGAGATCTGTTATACATTGTAAAATACTGAGGTAAAGGCAAATAAAGCATTAATATGACAAAAACTTTATCTCTTACAATTACAGGTTTACACTTAAATGTTTTGACATTCAATTTGTTAGGCATTCACCACAACAACATAATTCTGCTACACAGGTGTGGTGTAAACATAAATGTATACTAGAATGTAAATGCACAAACTCAAGTGCAGATTACCACAGTGATGTAAACAAATCAGTTTGCGTGCTCAAATTTCAGAGACACGTAAATCAAAGTCTACACTTACAACAGCAGAACACATCCAACACCCATCAGACCCTTCGTTACACACGCGCTCTGACATTCGACGGCAGCCAAAACACATGTACGCGGTGCGTCCCCCCCCCCTCCTCCG